GAAACAAGTTTGTAGTGAATAAATTTTATGAAGTAAACCAGGTTTATTTTATCTTTATCTATATTAGCTCTATACTTCGGTATATCGAGCACTCTACTCATATATGATTCTAAATACACACTCGAGAACATTTTCACCTTAATATATATATATATATATATATATATATATATATATATATATATATATATATATATATATATATATATATACAGACGACTAAGAATAATCCTTGCATTTTATACCACCAAGCATTTATCCATAAAACAAATGCTAAAATAAAGGCAACTTTGAGGCAGTTGTTTATATCAGGTAAGAAGTCCAGTCTTAACCTTAACCTTAACCAATAATATTTAACTAAATTTTGTGTAAAAAGGCTCGTTCGCACTTGCAATTTTTACTGCGATTTTGGGTGCGATATTCTTCTTCTGATGGATGTGAACGAGTGGATGAGTTATGAATGTTGAGGTGAGGGTACATGTACTCCGAACATTCGTAACTCGTCTACTCGTTCACATGCATTAGAAGGAGGAAATCGCAGTAGAAATCGTAGCAAAGTAAACGGGCCTTAGCACAGTTCTGAAGGCGTTCGAAAATAATGCTGACGTCAGCACTTTTGTTTTTCAAGACGCTGTAACTCAGGAGGAATTAATCGTATTGATTCAAAATTTTTCGTGAATACTCGTAATAATGATATAAACAACATATAAAACTTCCAGTGTAGAGTTATTGTTTGTTACTTACCGTCAAAATGAGAAAGATCCATCACTTTTGTAATAAAATATGTTGTCAGACGTCCATGTTTATAAACAGTCGCATTGGCTACCATCGGAAAATATTGTGATGTTCCGGTATATTCCGGGAAAATGTCGTGATATTCCGTCACAGAATAAAGATCAGTACCAGAAGGGCCACTCAGCGGTGCGCCATTTTTCTATGCAAAAATATGCAGTTAACTGGCCAGAAGGCGGGGGCCTTCAGCCAATACAGCGCGTTTATTGGCCAGAAAATGTAATCGACTGGCTAGGAAGATGGCGGCCAGGGTGACAGAAACTTTAAAGCTTCCGACGTAAGTGGCCCTTCTGTGTGCCTTATTCTGTGATTCCGTGATATTCCGCCATATTCCGTGATATTCCGGCATTCCGGGTTTTCACAACGCCCCTTTAAAATCCCTTAATAATACTGAATGTAAACAAAACATTTAATACATACTGTACAGAGCCGGATTGCAAAAACTTGCAAATAATGTCTTTTTTTCATAGTCTCAGAGAAGGATAACAGAATTACAGAATATTCAGCCCAAATCAAATCGAAATCTGACTTTGTATCAGAATTTGATCCGCAACTCACCGGCTCAGAAATCGAGTAAAGTAAAATTGCGATGAAATATACTGCGTGTATTAAACAAAACATTTAATGCATCATACAGAGAGCCGGATTGCAAAAACTTGCAAATAAGGTCGTTTTTAGAGAAGAATAACAGAATTACAGAATATTCAGCCCAAATGACAAATCAAATCGGGCTTTGTATCAGAATTTGAACCGCAACTCACTCGAGTAAAGTAAAATTGTGATGGGCTTAAATACTGACCACTGTAAATAATACTGACCATTCCAATTTCCATTTGTTATTTGGCATGAAGAATATATTTCATCGCATGTCGCATGAAAAATTGTCAGCCGATGAGAGGCGAAAGGCCCATAAAATTTACTGTACATGTAAATCACTGTATATTAAAGACTGAAAGTTCTCAAAATAGCCGGTGCGAGGCGAAAAGCCGGTAGGATTTAAATCACTATAGGAAAAGTTCCGTGTACGTACGCACCATAATGCATTGCGCTTGAGCTCGATGTTTGCGTACCATAATGCATTGCGCTTGAGCACCAAACTGTGGGGCTCGCTCAGGCTCGCCCCAATTAATACAAAATTTGCAAATTTCGTACGGCTATATTTTCGTCATTTTACAACATTTCGCAACCGGCAAACTTTGCAATTTTGCTAATTTTAACATGCTCTTTCTGGCTGTGGGGATCAGGATTTTATTCTTCTTGCCTAGATCAAAATTTAGTCTATAGCTGCATGGAATCATCCATTTATACCATGACACAAGCTCAACATTAAGTTAGGGGAGGGAGGCTTAAGAAACGCAACATGATTCAATCATGGAATTTATCAATAAGGGGTATGCGAATTTTGTCTACTGGGAATTGTGTGTTCATTAAACAAGTTATTTCCAAAATTGTAGATGAGACAAAATTGCTCAAAAATTGCATGCAATAGCCGGCTTTCTCACCGTACCGGCCGCCATTTTTGGGTGGCTTTTCACTAAAGTCTGCGAGATAAGTCCACAGTAACAGCGACTTTTTATAATTTTCTTGACGAATTATGGTAAATTTGCTTTGTAAATGGTTAGTTTATTTTGAAAAAATGCTTTTCACATTGTTTTAATTGCTTGCATTGGTTAATTTAACGAGAATTAGATGCCATCATCCCACCCAAAAATGGCGGATATTCGTCATCGATCGTGAGAAAGGCTAATTAGTTGTGTTATTTTTGACAACGACGCTATTAAAGCCGTACTCGTGTCATCCCATGCATGGCTTTTGCCAAGTTGGTTGTATTTGCTAACAGTTGATATATATTCCGATATGCGGAGAAGTTGACCTTTCGTGAGTGATTGAACTTTGCACATGCGCGAGTATGTAATTTAGGAATATATGATAAGGAAACAAAAAAGATATGTATACCTGCATCGATATGTACACAGATTAACTGATCAAATGTTTATTATAAGTAACAACATGACTATAACATGAGAGAAATTAGCGATTAAATTGCCCGACGCCGAGGGAAGATTTGTGAAAGTCCGAGGGCGAACTTTGACTTCCGATCACGATCATCCACTCCAGCCATACACTCCGGATGGGTAAATGAAAAATAATTGGAATATCCAATAAGCGTGTCCTTCTGCAAAATGTCAATTTCCATGAATGTGCATGACTCAGGTAATTCCGGTATGGTAGGATTCTGGTGTCGCAATTCCATTCCGTTTGAATCTGTTCATAACGGGAATAAGGTAAGTCGGCTTTAGGAGTATCCGGAGGTAGCATAGGAACCATAAGAGGAGAATTAGACAATTAAGTCCAGATGGGACTCGGGCAATTTGAACGTGTATTAAAGTCGTGTTATTCACTTATTCTTTACCATATTTTGGCTTCAAAAATATCTTGATTTTATCTTGAATTGGCTGTCTTGTTTTCACCATTCTACATGTGATATTATTCCGAAGTTATCTATCAACATGGAAACTTATCCTCATCTGGTAAGTAGTCAAATACTACATATTTTATTATATACATTTATACAGTATAAAAACAATCATTGTGTAATATTTTAAACTGTCAAAACTGTCGCTGCAGGCATTAATATATTGCCAATTAACAATATCACAAGAAACTATTGTTCTCAGAAGATATTGAATTAAATCCTGATCCTGTATTTCTGTAACTCTGTTCAAAACAACAGTCCAACTCATCAAATGTAGTATTAGAGCAAAGGTAAAGATGTCATCAGTTAAAATTATACACATTAATAGAGTTAATTAAACAGAATTGTTACAACCATTTTCAAATGCTATTAAAAGAATCCCCACTCTCCTTCCTCATTACATTGTCATTTTGCTTTCTAATATAAATATTTTTGTTTAGAGATTAATACAAGAATGATGAATACATGTACTGATCTACTGGATATTGGCTGGATAATTTTGTCAAAACAACCCACTTGCAAGACAAACTTACCTAAATTCATTAGTTTGGAAAATAACTTAACAGCTACAATAATCATATATTATATGGATGGATCAGATCAACGGCACACAATGTACAAAACTAAATTTGTGATACCTTCTACTCAAACAGATATTCTCCCACAACACAAATTGTTTTTGTGTGGCTATGCTGAGTTAAACCGAACAGTGTGGTATATATCATTAACTGTGCACAGGATTGGAATTGAATTATATACTTCACTCATGACCTTCAAAACATTCTCTACTATTCAGTGGTCTTCGATATATGATTGACTCTTTGCAACAGTAATGCATGTTCCTCGATTAGTTTGTCTATGTTACTCAACACTTAACATTGGCAAGTGTAAACAACAAGTGACAGAACTTTTGCTTCATATGATTACAATAAAGTTTTGAAAATTCGATGAGTATAGATTGACAAGTGACAGTTTACTAAATAGCCAGCTGTATAGACACTTCGAATATTGTTTGCATGAAATTTTTATTTCCTGACTGCATAATTATTCGTTACAAGCATAATCACATTATAAAATTAGTTAAATTTTCTCGGCGGGTAGGGGCAGTTGCCCCTGCTGCCCTCCGTGCAGTGTACAGCCCTGTTAGATTTGTATTATGTTTGACTTTAAAATCTTATTTGCTATAATATTTATTCAGACCTTGTTCAATGTTATCTATATATATATATATATATATATATATATATATGTATGGTCTATCTATATGGTATTGAGCACTGTTTGTGTTTCGTAAACCAAAATCGTAAGCTATATTTGCACCCGGTAATCGGTTGTGCACTCTTGTCTACGTTATTAATTTTATTTCTACTTCAAACAAGCGACAATTTCGATTCGATTATTCACTAAAGAATATTCCTATACCATCACAGGATGCTTACCTAAAGAATTTGATTGAAAAAGTGGAAAGCGTAACAAAACGTATGAGATGGAAAGCTAATTTCTTAAAAGGATCAACGACTCAAAACCAAAGCAACCTTTTCGGCCTTTCGTCTAACAAATCGCCTCCTTCAATTCCACTTTTGAAACCTTTCGAAGACGACTTGATAAAACTAATTGAAAACGTAAAATTCCGGCGTCCTAAAGACCAATTTCAGACATCTTTGGCTAACGATTTGAAGAAAATTAATTCATCCCCCAAATTTTCATTTTCGCGGACAAAACTAAAAAACTATGTGGTCTTCACTTATGGATACTTCCTCTTTTTTTGCGGTTTTAACACACACTCGGACCAACCCAAACAAGTAGTAACTTGATTTAATTGCTTCAGTAAGCTTAAAAGACCACGCGTACATCGCGAATGCTAGATCCTTTTTCCCATTTCTTGTTTTTACAATACAATAAAAGAGAAGAACCGTAAATATACCATTATTAAATCTCACGTCGTTTATACTTCCTTGCTTTTCGTCCCCATTTCTCATTGCGCTGAGAGTATAATCTCTCACTTCTGTGAACCTTGGCTATGTCGTTTACCGACTCTTCAATTTGGCCAACTTTTCGTCGTCTTTTTGGAACGCCAGTCTTCTGGTGAAATTCCGGGATTTATTCATTATTTTCTTTGACTCGTTAGTAACTTCTAACATGCGAAACAGCTCATTAAGCATCGACTCCTTTCCCGTTGATGTCTGTAAAATAGAATTAGCAACGTGCAATTTGTGGGAAAGAAATAGTGTCGCTTGACATTGCTCTGTTGGGGGAAATGAAATGTTTTTGTTTATGCAAATGTTTGTTGTTGCTTTTATTTTGACGTAACAGTTCATGTCACCTCATGAACTAGCGATATATTTTTATGTCGTAGCAACATTAGCCTAAACTTCTCTTTTGGTTTATTATTTATCTCGGATTAACCAACCTCGTCACATGCCTTGTTCGCTTGTTAAATATGCAAGACTCTTACTTTCGCCCGCAAGGAGCGATTTATATTGAAAGAGCAGAAATTATATAGAAATTAAATAAAATATATGTAGGGGTGCACCGCGGATAGTGATTTTTACTATCCGGCAAGATTCCGGATTTGCCGGATATCTGAAAAAACTCCGGCCGGATACCGGATATTTTATTGATTTGAATATTTGACATATAATATATATTATAAAGATTTTTCTCATCCATGTATTAGTGCAGAAAAAGGTGACGCTATTTTTTTGAATTTTTGAGTAAATAATCAATTTAATATGGTTAACTAAAAATCTGTTTTTAACTTCACCATTCACGTGTTTCCGAAAACTTCCGAAAGTTTTTGAGGGATGGGGTTTAGTACGGCTTTTGGCGCCAAACGCTGTAAATAGTTAACTAATTCAATAAACCTTTCCCATTTTGAGTGGAAATTTTGAACCAGACAAGTCTGGACAAAAATTTCATCACAACTTGAAAGAGCATCACAAAATTAGTAATATTCCGAAGTTTCGTTGCGAAATGTTGTAAAATGCGGATAATATAGCCTTGCGAAGTTTGCCGTTTTTCAGTCGACTCATTTTGTATTACAAATGGGAAATTGATAATCAGTTTGATCATCTGATTATCAATTTCCCGTTTGTAATGCAAAATGCTTGAAAAACGGCAAACTTCGCAAGGCTATATACCCGCATTTTACAACATTTCGCAACGAAACTTCGGAATATTACTAATTTTGTGATGCTCTTTCAAGCTGTGATGAAATTTTTGTCCAGGCATATCTAGATCAAAGTTTCACTCATAAGGGGAAAGGTCTATTAATGATATCAGTGGCTAGCTTTTTCACATGTTCTTTTTTGAGTTTCTATTTTTTTAGTGTCATTTTATGTTTCAATTAACGAAAATTTACTACACTTCATAAAAAAAAATTATCCGGTATCTGGCCGGATAATAGGGAACTTTAGATTTGACTACGAGTACGACTACGAGTACGAGATTCGTCAAGCTAAACGCATGCTGTATGCTTACGCCATCCCGTACTGACGCGAAAAAGTCGTAGCCGTCGCTCATCTGAGTACGAAATTGTGGAGAAACCTCGTAGTCCT